CCCCCCCAAAAAACAACCCCAAAACCACCAAAAAACAAAACCCTGCAGCTCTAAGTCCTTACTGAATGGTTTTATATTTAAAAAAAACCACCAAAACAAAAAACACCAAAAAATCCTCAATGTGCGCAGATACTTCAACTTAAGTTAGCAGAAGACCAAACAGATTCTAAGCTCTTTTTCCCTTTCGCTAATTCTTTCAATCTGCAAGTATCTACAATCCAGCTAACCGAAATCAACATTTAGTGTTCACTAGAGCTGTTTCACAGCAGCAAATATTTAAGTTAGGGATTCAAATTTCTAGACATAGGAAGAAAATGATAAATACAATCTGAACAGCAGTCTAAATGTTTAATATTGACATTCAAATATATCTGCATTGTGCTGAAATTTTATAAACGAACACAAAAATCTGAACAGACAAAAACTCTGGTGATGAGTATGCTATATGTATCAGTCAAACTGAATATAGTTCATATTCTGTTCCCAGCATTAAGGATGTTATTTGACTCAGAACTGATATTGTAAATATACAGCAGCCATTGTTCCTAATTAAGGAATGTCTCAATACATAATATTATCCTTTTCTAGATGATCTTTATACATTTAACCTAAAATATATGATCGATTAAATTAAGGAATCCGAGGTTAGTAATGAGTGAAATCATACTTTCAAAGCTCGATACTATGTAAAACAAACCAAAAGAGACCACACAACTCTACTTACTAAAGCAGCTAATCTTGCCTGCAAGTTTGGGGTCACAAAGCCCGTAATATGTGCAAACAAACGCAATACAAGGAAACCATGCAAAAATACAGTAATGAATTAACAGAAAAAAAATGTAAAACCTAAAAAAAGTTTTATAAATACACTGAAACTCAACTCTCTTCTACATAAACTGTAGGTCTAGCATTAGTTGTACCATATAGCAGAGCCAGCACCCTAGGTTCAATGCTTCCAAATCTGCGCAGGTAAGTCATGCCATCTTTGGTTGACTGCAGTACCAGGAAGGATGAGAGGGAGCGAGAGGGAGGACAAGAGTTCTGGAAAGCGCTGTCAACTTTCACTAGGCAGCTGAGCCTCAATGTCCACTCTGCAAATGGGGCACTTCTTGTTAGTAATCAACCACTGATCTACACACACTTGGTGGAACAGGTGCATACATGGAAGGCGCCTGTCATCGGAATAGAAAAACATTCATGTTAGTAAAGCATTTCCATATCAACATACCCATTAGAAAAATGGTAGTGTGGGTTTTGTTATCAAGCTGTCTATTGTTTTTGCACATACATTTTTCCACAAGGTTCACTAGCCTTTCCAGTTGAACCTGCATTTTGTCTAGTTCCAAGAAGAAATGGATATGGGTAATGAAGTCAAGCATCAGCTAAGCTTCTGCCGTATTACACTGATTTAAACCTGCTATAGCTTAAGTAGCATTACTCCAGAAAAATTAAAATTGACAGCCCTGATTAACTCAGGGTATCAGCTTGGGCTTATGTTACCAGACAGTCAACTTATGGAAGACCAGAACAGAGCCTACAAAGACAACATGGACAGAACAACCTGTGTTTTCAATTGCAACTTATTTTACTCATTGGTTCAATGACAGATAGTCTTTAATTCTAACTGTTAACCTAGGGAGTACTGCAAAGAGCAGTGTATCATATTCAAGTATGGTCTCAAAGCCTGAACATTAACTTCATACTTGGATATTCAGTGGTACTATTTACCTGACATCTTCACCTTCCTCCAATATAGACAAACAGATGGTGCACTTTTCCTCTGTATCTTCCTCTGTTCCTTCCTCCCCATCTTGTTTGCAGTGCAGTTTCCTCTGTGAGAACCAATCAGTTGTTACCTTATTAGTAGAGATGATATTATTGACAAACTGAGTAAAATCTGTTTTTAATACATATTCAACACATACTTCTTTGAAAACATTTCATAATATTTATTTAAATATATTTGAACCAAAATTAATCAAATACTAGCACCTGGACCAAAATCACAGGACATTTCAGATTTAATTAACTATTGTTAATTACAAAAGTCTACAGGACTGTGAACAAATTCATTTCATGTTGTTGCTTTTACTTGTGGTTTATGTGTAAGTATCTTCGTATCATTCATGAAGAGGAAAAAAAAAAGTAAATCCTTTCAAACCTAGTATCTTCAGTCAGTTTTTATCAAGTGTGAAAGAACACTATGTAAATGTGGATGGGATTTTATATTATGGTATAATAAACTCCAACTGAGACACAACTTCAGTTGCCAAAATTCTGTACTAGATTCAGAACTGCCAAGTGTCCCACAGTCTTCCTAATGTGACCAGAGTAAAGGTTAAAATCATAGAATCATAGAATGAAAATGATACATACCAAGTAGGTAAGCATCATGAACAATGTATTGCAAAATTCAAGTCTCACTTTATTTGACGAGTTCTCACTGAAGTTGACAATTTAGCTATTACCAACAGTTATTTCATTGCTCACAAGGCTATTCCTAACTGCTGGACAAGATACTTAATCATATCATAACACTTTTGTTTATCACATAACAGTAGCTCTTTATCTAGGGACCAAATTTTTAGTTTTATTTGTGAAAGAACTGGCATTGTGAGCTTTGCTTACAATCCTTGAAATTGCAGATACAGAAAACATGCACTCTTTGAAGCTGGTATTTCTGCAGATTTAAGCTAAATGTAAACATTATTACATTTTCAAAGAAATATTACAGCTAGGCCACAGTTTGAGAAATCCTCACCTTTTTGTATTTATGTGGATATGTGCATCTTTCTATAGTTCCCTGTGTTGCTCCACGATTAACGTTGCCTAATCGTTCCTCCAAGTGAATCAGCTCCTAAAAAATTATCAAGGAATAAGCAGTATAAGAACTGTTATTTCAGCTACCCTGTTCTAATCCTTTTGCAGAAAGATAAACTCTCAATTCCCAACTTATTCAAATTTAGGCAAAGCAATAAAGAGTATGTTGTGTGGGAAAAGCGATGGGCTTCTGTAGAAAAACCCACACAACACTGCCTGGTATTTTAAGTTATAGGGAAACACTATTTTGCTACTAAAAATAAATATATAAGAAATTGTTTGTCAGCTAGGAATGGTTATCGGTACATTCAAATGTACTTGTGTGTCTAATGAGGAAAATGCAATTAAAATCCACTAAGTAAATATTTGCTCTCTAACAGTTATTAAGGCTTAGAAGAACAAAAAGTTTCTTAAGTTGAAATACAATGACTGATTTATTTTTCTCCAGCAATGACTTTATTAGAACAATGAGATGTCACTGAAGATGTTTTCAGTGGACTAGGTCATTAACTCTCTGCATCTGATACCTTCTATTTTCTCTTTTTTTGTTTTCTTCCCTCAGTTTCAGTTCCTGCACTACATAAACAGAACAGCAGTGTTAAAGTTGCCAAGTTGCACCCTCGCTAGGAGGGTCCTGGCACAGTAATTCAGATTCAGCACTACCTTATACCAACGTATCATGCGAGTACTGCATCCTCCTAACGAGGCTGGTGGGCAGAGCAAGATGTACTGGCAGTTAATAACCACCTACACCTACATTGTCCAGGGCACCTTCTACTGACCAGGTTTTCAATGTGCTTTTCTCCCAGTTCATGATAGTGAGGTCATTCTATAAATAAAGTGTATTTTCTTTATGATTCTTTTACATCGATATATAGAACTAGCGCTACCATACACCCTCCCCATATTCCCTCATGACACATTTTGATATATATCTAGATTTATTCTATTACAAACCTCAAAATTGCCCCTGAAAGGGCCTCTGAATGATGTTCCATCCAATCCCGATGAAATGTAACGGATGTGAGGGTAGCCCGCCATGTCTGGTACCTATTCAAACAGCAGACGTTAAGTTAAACCTATTCAGAACAGTTTCAGCATCTTACTGTTCACTTTGTAAAATTTAAGATCCTTTTGCTTTTATTGAATGACTTATTATTTATACTCCTCAGCTTGAGCATACAATTCCAACTGATGGCATAACACACCACCACTCTGAGCTCTCTAAACATAACCGGAAGCAAAACAGAAGTGATACTACATCCTCTATTGTACTCTCCACATCTGCATTACATACTGCTTGGCCTCACATCCCAAGTCTCAAAATCTCAACCTACTTTGTATGAAATGCCATAAATATCTACCTATTTTTGTAAACAACACACCAAAGAGCTACGCATGAAGTTATGAAAAGGACTTGCTATGGATTCTCAAATATAAATTTTTGGTATCACAGGAGAAACAAGGCTAACAGTCCGGAAAAAAAAGCCAATATCCTCATCTTTCCCAAAACAACTGAACATCTTCAGACACACTTCAAATTTAGAGGCAGATTAAAAAAAAGTAACACTCAAAACTCGCACCTAAAGTCATAGGCAACTCTACACACACTCTATATTCAAGCATCCACTGACTTCCTTGCATGTAAGAGATACAAAGCAGTGAACAAAACACCCTACAGGCACTTCAAACACCAGCGCTTTTCATACAGGAAAGCAGAAAGGTAGTTAAAATATCAAGGACCACCTGCACAGCAGGGCTTCTGCATTCTATTTTTACACATCCTACCGTCCCCCCCATGAGCGAATAATGATATTGACTTTTTGTCAGAAACATATGAGCAGCTATTTTTAATGAACAGATGAAAAAAAAACCCAAAGGATTAGCAGATTCAGTTTACTTAACTGATCTCACTGATAGCAGGACTGTAAGCAGCAGCTCATTCAAAAATAACACTAAGTACTTGGGAAGCAGTATCTTCCTTTCCATGCTATCGGCTGGTAACATCTCTGCTGCTGCTTATGACAGCTCTAAATTCATCTCATGAGGCTGTCAACAAGTCAGACATGCCGGATACTATCCGGGAAGTCAGGTATTCATGTGTGGATTATTTCCAGCAGACACTTTTAAGCTTAACATATATAAAGGTGTTCAACTGAATTAATGCATTGTGGGAAAGCATAGGCCTAGACAAAATTACTCACATAACATAGCAGACCAATAAGCTACCTTTCTATGTTTTTCAAATCCAGTCTGGTATCTAAAAGCTGACAACAATAGAAAAGATTTCTCTGCCCTAAATATTTTTTTCAGAAAGCAGAATCTGATTATTTTAAAGCAATTTACGTGGTGCTTGTCAAATTATGACCATATAGTGCCAATACAACCCACAGACACAGCGACAATATTAGTATTAGATTTTTACAAACCAGAGTAATAGAAACCAAAGATTTAACTTCCAGAATCCTAATACAGGAGGTGCCTTATGAGAGCATAAGCAGCCTAAATTTCTGTTGGTCTGGTACTAATCAGAGTTGGAGATGGGAAACAAGCAAGACAGGATGACTAATGCAAACTTCAACAGCGTATCGATTCAAAGATCTAAGTTGTTATGCAGTATGCAGAGTGTAATTACAGAGATAATATACTGACACACAAATTCAATATGATGACAAATACAGATTTTTATATCACAAGATAGGTATATTCACCTGCATGCCTAAACATTTCATGTAACATCTGTTGGTGTCACAGGTCTTAATGTTTGACAATATGAACTGTGGCTGTAACAAAGGAATTTGGGAGGGTGCATTAAACATATGGTAATTTGTAAAAACTACATTGTAAGAAATCTGTCTCGGGTAATTGGTGATTTATGATCCATTTTCCACTTAATCATGTAATTCTACCTTGTCCTCCAATTACAAAAATCACATTTAAAGAACTAGGTCACTCGAGCTACACTATGAACATATTTGTTGTCCCTGGTTTTTACCAGGCACAGGCCTGGTTGGCATCATTTGCATGTTTCCATTGCCTTTTCTTAGATTGTAAATCAATTGCCTCCACTCAGAGGAAAGGAAGCTTCTGACATAACCTTAGCCATGTCTCAGGAGTGACTTTCACTACTTGTTTTTTTTGATTCGCCAGGATCTGCAAACAGTCTGTTGGAAACAATGCATCTGACAGTGCAGATACTGCATCCCTACAGGAGCTGTAGTCACAGGTGTGCTGCTGCAATGCATTAATTACAGTTCCAATTGCCTCAAGGGTCAGAGTTTACATGCACCTGGACAGGCCTCCCATTTGGAACAAATTCTGCTTCTGGAGACTATTTAAGAAACCTACTAAATTGAACACTACAAAACCAACAAAGAATTTCTTAAGAGTACATACCACAACAAACTACTGAACTTAGACAACAGAAATATTGGGTGGGACAACACATTTTCATGCTAATAAATGGGCCTTCATATTATCCTCATGGGGAATGGCATAACACCTCTGCAAAATTATCTGAATGTACATTATGTACAGGCTCTTTTATGTAATATTGTGAGAGCACAGCTTACATTTCTGGCCAAGTAAAACACTGTATTTCAAAAAAAACATTTCTGTAAGAAAAAAAAGCTCCTTTATGCCTGCAGAAAAAGCACTCTGCTAACATAGCAAGATTTCAACTAATTACATTTGTGACTACAGCCTGGAGGAAATAGGGGCAAGAGAGAACTATCCATAATGCCCAACCAAGAGCAGTCTAACCAAAAATCCCTTTGACAGCTTCAAAAGCAAAGAGAAGATTTCATCTCTCTTGAAATAGCTTCACACACAAACAGAAGTACGTTTTCAGTAAGTTTTCACATTGAATGTAAGAAAAAAGGAAAAATGAAGAAAGTAAAGAGTTAAAGATAATTCCAGCTTGCACTAAGTGCTTGAATTTACTCTTTTAGATACAGTCAAAGCATAGGATATACTTCAAAGCAGCATGCTCTGGACCTGCAAATTCCAGTACAAGTTTGCCAAGAACTGTTTGTTTCCTGCAGAACAAGTTATCAACCGTTTCTTGTTTTGCATTTTCTATTAACACTTCCCACTACCACAAAAATTTTCAACAACTAAAACCTCAAGGCTAAGTCTGAACCATTTATAACACAAACATTCTGAAACAGCTAACCTGCAGGAAACATTTTCTTCCTTGCTACCTTCCTTTAAACACCTTCCATCTTTCCAGGATCTTCTTGCCTTTCAGTTGCCACAGTCAGTGAAGATTCTCCCATTGTATGGTACTACTTATCTTGTCCATCCCAGCCTTTTAGTCAATGGTTCACATTAAGTATGATCTTCATACACATTAAAACAAATCTAGTCAATAAGCTTATCTGGTTAACTGCTTAGGTCCACATCAATACTCAAAAAGGAATAAAGCTGATCAACTAAAATCTTAATAAGCCAAATTCAAACAAGGAAAATTTGCAATTTTCATAGAGAGACACCATGTGAAGGAACAAGTAATGTGAGCTGCATAGCTAAAACCTAACTGTACGTGTGTCTGAGGGGAACGTAAAATCAGCACTCTGCAATAGCCTATATTCTACAAAAAAACCTGAAGAACAGTAATTCAAGTTTATATTAAGAAAAAAATCAGCAGCTGCATTACAAAAGTCCATTTTCTTATTTGAAAAATGCAGTTAAATTTGATGCAGCTAATCAAGGCTATTTCAAATCTAAAGTTTACCTTGAATTACTGTTGCTACATTAAGTTACAGCCTTAAGCTAAGTGTTTGGATATTTTACAGGAAGTTTGTTAGCTTTTTTGGCATGGAACAGTTGAGTCTCTTAGAGCTGTGATGTCTGTATAACTACACTGAGGGATCTTATTCTGACCAGTATACATCTACTGTAATGTACTGGGACCTATCTATACCTCCAAATCCCTCCCAATTCTTATAACTAAGTATAAAGATGGCTTTAACCACTCTGAGTCATTCAACAGTTAAAGGAATAAACGGGTAAGGCTATGAAATAGAAGAAAAAGGGGGGACAGTAAGAGACCTGCACGTATAACACCTGAGAGAGTTTAAGTCACCATAATAACTTTTTTTTTTTAGTTATGATCCAGAGATCTCCCTCTGACTGGAAAGCTGCAGTTTAGGTTCACTGCTAAATTAAGGAGTCTTCTCAAGGCTTGGATCGACCCTACAGAGATTTATTACACCATAACTAGCAAACTGTAAAGTCCAGATAATTCCACCCCCCCCCGAAATTCACAACCAACAGGAACACTATTCAGAAGGCAGAAGAAAACAGAGTCAAGAGACTGAAACTAAGTATATCCCATGCTCTCCTTTGGTTAACAGGTAGCTGAAACAATTTGAGAGGCATGTATATAGCCTCCATTATTGAAGATATGTTTTATAAAACAGAAACTAAAAAAACCCACCAAAACCACAAAACAACCCCCAAAAAACCACCTACCACCAAATCCAACCACTAGGCAAAATATGATCTGAAAATTGTATCTATGACAGCTATGTGTGTTTTAAGAACAACAAGCTGAACAAAATACTCTATCAGCAGCAGGTTTGTTGCTTAAGTTTTAAATACTCAAAATCCCAGATGAGTTGTAGTTAGTTATTCACCTAAACAAGAGTACAATTATACTAAGTTAAAAGGCACAATGGGAACACTGCTCACTTCAGTCTACATTCCATTTAAAATTTAATTATCAACTTAGAGCTGAGGAGATTTTGGTTTTCTTCTTTGATTATGAAAAGGATAAGATGGAAGGGGAGAGAAACAAGCCCTTCTAGTTTTAACCTTCCACTCCACCCCCATTAAATGACAAAAGGGAACAAATCAAATTCATAAAAATAACCCTTTCTTTAAAAGAGCAGATTTAAAATATAAAGCACTGATTTTTTTAAAGTGCCTAGTAACAAACTCATATTCAGAGCAAGTTCCTGTTTCAAAGCTGAACTAAATTACAATTTCTAAATGAATGTCTGCAGACATTTGAACCTTTATAGCAAATAACACATTCTCCATCGTTCTAATCCTTTCTTATTTCTTGAAGCCTGAAAAATGTTAGAAATATTCTCATCTTCAAAATTACAAAAAGTAACTGATTTTACGGCTACATATAGCATTCTGGTCATTCAAGCAAATGGAAGTTCTGGTTTCAACTGGGATAGAGCTAACTTTCTTTCCAGTAGCTGCTGTGTTTTGGATTTAGTATGAGAATAACATCGATAACACATATTGCTTTAGATGTTGCTAGGTAATGCTTATCTTAAGTCAAGGACTTTTTCAGCTTCCCATAGAAGCGGAGAGGGAACACAGACAGGACAAGCTGGCCAAAGGAATATTCCACACCATAGACTTCATGCTCAGTATATAAATGGGGGTTGACCCAGGGCAGGGGAAGAAAGGGGAGGCAGGAATCTGCAATCGCTGCTTGGGATGGGATGGGCTGGGCAGGGCAATCGGTCATTGTGTGGTGAGCAGTTGTATTGCATCCCTCATTTTGTATATTCTTTTAGCATTATTGTTATTATTTTCTCTTCTGTTACTGTTCTACCAAACTGTTTTTCCCTCAACCCATGAGACTTCCTTTTTTCTGATTCTCCTCCCTTATCCCTCCTGGGGATGAGGAGTGAGTGAACGGCTGTGTGGCCCTGGTTGCTGTTTGGGGTTAAACTACACCAGTGAGACCCAGGAGAGTTGGGACCATAGAGAAGGGACCATTTCAGGCTGCCCTCGGGCCAAATTTAGAAACATCTGGAGATTTCTGTTTGGATCTTCCCCTCCAGATTTCACTACAAACTAGGATACCTTTTCTCTCCTGAAGCAACAGAAGAGGAGGAATTATGCTTGTATATGCATTACAGCCATAGGTATGGTTCAGCTAGTCAAAATTACATCTGGTATATAGTTCATTGCGAACAAGTCATGTTCCTTTTAACATACACCTCAGTTTATTAAGTTACAGAAATTCCTATCGCGTCTACCTAGATGTCATAACTGGTGCTAGGCACTCTGAGACAAAAAGCAAACCGTGCCAAAAGAGCAGCCAAAGTCCCTCTGAGTAAAAAGAAACTGAAATGGCATCTAACAACAAGCACCAGCATCACGTAAGAACAGAGGAACAGAAAAGCCTCTGTTTTCCTGTGTCATTCTTATGCAATGTTTCATAGTTATGCCATGCACTGATTTTCAGTTGGTTTTTCCTAAAAATGTTCAAGTTTGCAGAATGGATATTTGTCCAGAATGGAATTCATCGTAAAAATTGCTTTGACAGAAGATCTTTCTTCAGCACGTACATGGCATAAAAGCAGTAACGATGAGAACACAAACTACTCTAAGCCAGGGTCATACTTAAAATAATTGTGTTAAATCAAGCAGGGAAGCAGCATAATCCTTGTGTACATAGATAGGAAGGAAGCTCTTTTAACTGCTTTTAATCAAGGATTCCTCCTGAAGCAACATTTAAGCAGGTGAAAAGTTTCTTCAACCAAGCTAATAGAAAAAGATTTGGACTGTCAAAGCTGCTCAACACTAAGTATCTGCACCAACATATCTTGCTTGTTTTGTCTCCCTGAGGATTAAAACAGCAGTCTCCACTCAAGCACTGACTAGATGAAGATTAGGTTATCCTCAATCCAATTAAAATCTGAAATTGATATATCAGAGTATCAGTGTCGTTAAAGCCCAAATAATCTGTTATGCCCTTTATGGTCCGGCAGTAGTTTGAAGGGGGTTTAGTACTCCAGAGCAGACAGGAAAAATGCACACTGGCTATTTGGCAGCATGCTATTTCAGAAACTAGATTTAAGAGAAATTAATTTTTTAGCTGAGCTACTGCATGAGTTACTTTAAAAGCCACCTCCCCTCTCTTCCCGCCCCCCCCCTCCCCCCCATAAAGAATAGAGAACATCAACATCTGACTACATCTGCATCAAGAATACAACACCTGAGCCTTGTAATCTGCTATTTAGTACCTTCTGTACTTGCTGAAAGAAAAAAGCACTCATAATACGAGCCTCTCAGCAGAGGGACTCCAATCACAGTTCAGCCTCTCCTCCCCTGCCCCTGTTCCTGAAGTTACAATGAAAAAACCCAGGTGACAGCAGCAACTAATCTATTGCTCTTTAATAAAAACTGAAATGGCACTTTTGTTTAATATCCAGTTACGTTTGTTAGATTAAAAACTTCACTGACTACTTGCTAGTCAAAGTCAATTTTGCTGACAGATCTGCTGTACTCTCACATGCATGCAAATGAAGAAAATGTTGGCTTTCATTATTGCCATAGAAGGGGTAGAATCATCGAATGCATCTGTAATGCTTTGAACTCATATATATATGTCTTGTAGCGGTGCTCTAACCTGCCTTTATGTTCTTCTAGTGTGTGTAAACTGAATACACTTCAAATCAGCCTGAGAATAAGAACACAACTTCAAAGTCATAACACTGGATGTGATCACAGCAAGGTTCAAGCCAGACCCCCAACACTTGAGGCAGCACTGCTTACAGTAGTCTGTGCACTGTACAACGTGCTGGCAGCACAGTGCGTACAAAAACTCAACCTACAAACAACTTCAATTCCATTTCTTCCTGAGATTCACGAGTTACTGTTACAGAGATTAGATAACCCTACACAAGCACATGCACAAGTTTCTGTCAAGTTAAAGAAGCCTATTGCAAACGACACTTATCAATTAGTAGCAGCGGTTACCGAGCAGTAGGGTAAGACTCCCTTAAGTATATTATCAGACATTCAGGAAATACTTCTGATTTTCTATCACAGTTTTCTTCCATTCTACTGCTAAGAAGAAGATAAACAGTAGGGTCTCAACTACTTGTCTGTGTAACATTGCAGTTGCAGGAATATCCCTATGAAAGTTAAAATACAGTTAAAATTTTCTCAGTGCAATACTAGGATCAGCTGAACTCTGAAGTTTCTAGAAACTTCACAGTAATAGTGAAAATAAATCCCATCATTGACTTATTAGCCCTGACAAAAAAATGAGATAAAACAAGCATATGTTTAACTAACGCAACTGCAGTTCCCTGAACTATTAAGAGGATCCTTTCTCTTTGAGAATCTAAGGCAAATGATGTTATCTGTTACAGTACAACACATGAAATAAATGTGAAAGAGGCAAGCCATTTTTCATCCACTTGAAAAAAACAGACACCTAACTGATGAAAAATGCAGAAAATCTTAATTTGAATAGATGATGCACTGGAGATAAGGTTATGCAATAAGGATCTTGTTGGCTACACTAAAAGACCAAATTCTACAGACTGCTCTAAAAAGTCTGTGGTAAGCATGCAAGCTGTGCCTCAATGAATTACCAACCCTGACACATCAGGGAAGTACTTGAGGATTATTATCATGTTTGTTAGTTAAATAGGAAGGAACAAGCAATGTAAGACCAGACTGTGATAAGACAGCTATTACAGTATTGATTGTAAATTTACACTTCAATTCCTAGATGTCAATTCTGGCTACTAATAGAGGAATTTCAGGTGGACAAGACTTGTGGGTTGATTTTAATTACAATTTTAGCATTCATTTACTGGGGAGCCCACAATTTTGATTAGATTATCTGGCTTGACTAGTAGGTGAAGTTGCTGAAGCCTTAGGCCATGAGCTGCAAACCTTCATCAATATAAACTGAACTTGTTTTGAACCTCTACTTAGTTACACAAAGGCAGGCCCTGAGACTGGTACAAACCAGGAGATAAAACAAGCTACTACCATCAGCAGAGGCTGCAAATCGACAAGCTAAAACCAGTTAATGGCTGACTAAAACCAGTTAATGGGAGACAGAGAAAGAATCCAATGAGGAATAAGAAGACCCCAGACCATAAATTACCATTGGAGCAAGGGGTGCGTGCAGGCTGTGCAAAGGGTGGATGCATGGATCATAAGGGTACAATTGCCCAGGAATTCCCCTTTGCTCTGGGTCCCTCTGCAGCTGCATCCAGCTCTATCTGCCCTTGCTGCTCTACCACTCGAGTAAATCTGGGGAGTGGTGGTGTGTCTGTGTGTGAGATTTTTGCCTGAGACTCTGCTACAGGAAACTTTGGGCAAAGAAACTCCTTTAACGAGCCACACAGAATACCACATAGAAACACTAAACTAAATTTGCGTCTCTGTGTATTTTCATTAAATAAAATTAAGGATATTTGAAGTAAACCTACAAACATTCTTTCAAAAATAATACTCTGTAGAAGTCACAGAGTTATGCTGACTTCCCTTGTTTTACTACTGTAGATTAAAAAAAGTTATGTGTAACAAAGGACTAGTTTACCCTCACACTTCCTGTTGCTTATAACACTTTATGCTACAAAACTATACACTTTGTCACACAGAATATACCTGATGAACATAAAGTATTATTTGAAAACAACCAAATCTCTAGATGTAATTTTACCTGTGCTGCATACACACCATTAAAAGCACCAGTGCTAATCCTCATTCACTGGGCGGAATGTTGGTATCTTTAACAACCTGAAACTCATTAAGAATCTGAACTTTTAAAATCAGATGCAGAGGGTCAATGCATTGCAATGCAAGTGACAATTTAATTCAAGTATGTTTCATTTTACAGGAGCTGAAGTTAGAAATGTTAGTATCCTAAACCATTTTCTCTTATTAGTCTTTTATTATAAGCCTGTTCTAGCTCCTTGTCTGGGAGCAACACACAGAAACACTGGAGTATTTTCTTTTTCAATTGAACCACTAACTTTTGCAGCAACATATACACATCATTTTAAATGCAGTAAGCCTTAAAATAATTTTCCCAACAAACAAAATAATTACAGTGACCAATGATCATCACTTTTCATAAGCTATATCCTTACCATTAGAGGAAGAGCCCCGATTTGCAAGTGATGAAGTCGAGGAGGCGCGTGGTAGTGGGCCAAGTGAGGATGCAAGGGCCCTGGAGGGTAAGTAGCTGCAGTCACACCAGCTTCAATTCCCAGTTCCCTGTCACACAAATGAAAGTGGCATTACAGTAAAGGTATGTCTTGAGTTCTAGATATAGTTCCACTGCTTTGGAAAGCATACAACACAGTGCAGCTACCAGAACAGTTTTACAAAATATTTTTATTTTAAAAACTTATTTAATCCTAAATCCTACCATCACTAAGAGTTGTTTTTAAATCACCTGTGAACATTTAGTATGATAAATCACTGGAGACAACTCCACATTTCTTTGAGCCCAGTGATATTATCAGTGTGGAGTCTTCTCTGTAGCTCACACTGTGGAAACAGCCATGGTCACATGTGCCTCTTCCATAATGGTCAAAAGCCTTTTTATTTTTTTTCCCCTAATAAATACAATTTGGAACTTAAATGTAACTTTCATGAGTAGGCCTGATGCAATTTTTAATGAGTTCAGACAAAGAGGGGAAAGAATAAATTAGTTTGTAACTCAAGTCCAAACCTCTATTTTACAAAGAACATAAATATAAGAATAGTCTTCACCAGTGTTTTACATGCCTATTCTAAAATCAAATCTAGAGTTAATAGAACTCAGCTCCCTTTTAAAAGCAGTGGATAAAAATCCCTAGAAATATACTGAAGATACTGAGTACTCAAAGCAGTATTTTGAAGTCATATCAACATCTACAAATTTTAAACTACAGGTGCACGCAGCACTTTTTAAATATCACAGCCAGCATTATCAGCACTGTGATTAGAACATCATGGCCTTTTGTCCCGAGTCCCAAAGAACTAAAAGAGTATGCCTTTACTAACCAGGCAGATCTCTCCGGAGCTTGTCGAGGATGGGAAGACATTGTCTGAGGCACATGAATGTGATGCCCGTGACCATAATTGGGATGCATTCTGTGAGGATGCGGAGGAGGCCGTTCATGAGCACGTCTAAACAACATAAAACAGCAACAGTTAATTTCACGTCCTTGTAAGCATGAAGAAAGCAACATCCTTAACATTACAGACTGAAGTACTGTAATGCATTTGAAGGAAAAAAGTAAAACTCTCCATACAGTATTTCTATTTCAACTTTATATATGTTAGAAACTAATTGTAATACAGATTTCATATTTGGAGACAAAACCAGCTTTAGCTTCTGTGATCTGCCCTTACTTGGCAGACGCAACTACAGAAGAACTGACAAAGTGTTTAATCCCAACCTCAAACTACAGGTAGGAAAGCAAAGGCCAGACAAGATTCAGCAGCATTCACAACTATGCTGTTTATTTCTAGCAAAACTATACCAGCAGAAGTAATTAGGGGAAACTACAAATCAGAGGACATTTTCCTTGAAACATGTTTGTGTCACAGCTCAAGCATTAGGAGCACACAGTTTCTTCCATGCCAACTGGTACAGAACAACTACAGATTTGGAAAAAAAACCTGCTAGCTGACTTCTATTACTTTACCATTTCGCAGTTACAGAAAGAAATTGATCAGTATTTTCCTTTCCATTGCTTTCAATGCAAGTGTTTCTTTTAATTCAACCTAGAAACTTGGATTTTGCCAAAAGCAGTACACTGTCTTCAGATTCAGTACCACCTTAAACTACCTAACAAATTTACTTCTAGAGAAGTAAAAAGTTACTTAACAGCACATTATTCTAATCACTGTGAATTGACATTTCTCCAGAGAAATCTGTCAAGCTTGCATAAATTATGTTAGAAGTATTAGTTTTCTGCAATGGTACAGACCAATGTGAGAACAGATGTATAAGCAGAACCTACTCCTAGCCTCGCCTCCCTTCAGTTTATCAAATAACCACAGAGAAGAATCTGGCAGAACATATTTTAATGAAAAAACACAGCAAAACAACTTCCATAGTGTCATAAGAACTGAATCTCATGTAGGCCCATTTTTCCTAAAATGAGCCTGAAATTATTTCTATGAATGTAAAACTCCCAGGCTGTCTATCCCACAACCTTAGCATAAAGTAGGCAACCAGATTTAAAATAAACAGAAAATCTGTATGTTATACCAATGCAGTGCACTCTCATAGATTGCCTTTTGCACATTTTGTGGCCGATTCCAAGACCCTACAGAAGTTATAGCTGTTGTACCCACGCTTGAGACATCACAGTGAGAAAAGGACTCTAAGCATTCTCTACTTCCAATCCTGAAAAAGTCCTATATTGTTAGACAGAAGGTATATAAGCTAGGTGATCCCATATGCTGTTTCTAGAAATCAAGGGTGAAACAACACCTTAAGGACACTTTCAGATGCTGGGATGTGAAACCAAAGGAACGATAAGTCTCCTGGCAGTCTTGGACTGCATCTTAAATAACAGAGCAAATATACACAAGTTTCTGATTGTCAGGGTATAATCTGATTTATATGAAGTTGGACTGAGACACTTAAGAGTATTGATCTGGCATGTAATTTTAGGGAGGGGGGAAGAAAGACCAAGGGTGCAACAATTTCATAAAATTACAAAACAAAACTATAGAGGAGAAACCTCACAGAGCAAACTGACATGGACCTGAGATTGGTGACTTCAGAGAAAATGTCAAGAAAGAACCTATTATCAATATTTGACTACAGTTTCTACACATACAAAGAAAATCCACTAGGCTAAGAAATGCCAATATTCACATTTCCAATCCCCAAACTACCAGAAAGTTTCCAGAACTGGTAAAATAGCTACCGCTATTATTTTTCCTTAAACTGCTATCTTGCTGTCTGACAGTCATTGACGTGAACATTCCAAAATTAATTTTTATGTATGACTGGGTAATCAGGGGCACACATGCAGTATGCCTGTCTGTCTAGGTTAGGGTGTCTAGAGGTTATCTTTGCTATGCAAATAGCACAAAAGAACAGGTGTGGGTTCAAATAGATCAAAATTTTAATGACTGAGAAAGCAAAGTTATATTTGACTTTCCTGGGGGATGGGGGCAGAAGTCTGATGTGCCACTTTGTAAGCAGTTACTGCCTATAGATATTTTTATGAATTACCTGGAAACTGCCTCAAAAGTAGTTAAAGCAAACTGTTACTTAAGCATTAACTTCTAAATCAGTTTTAAGTTAGTTACCACTGGAATTTGTCTAACAAAGTTAGGAGCAACAACTAGAGAGCTCATTCTTGAAAGTCTCTTGAATATTTAAAAGCATTATCTCCGGAATTAAAATAACTTCAGTTACTTTGTGAATGAATACTAAACTAGCACTAACCTGATTCCTGTCAATACCAGTGTCATCAATCTAGTTTAGCAACAACAGTAGCATCTCTTAAACAGTATCACCAAAGCTAAGTCTAACAACGGTCACGTTCTCATACAGCTATTATTCAGTCTCTTCCTTCTCTTCTAAAGACATGAAGGCATAGCAAAGCTAGGTAAGTATCTATGGTTAAATTTGAATTAAGCCTGGTAAATGGTCTCTTACAATAAATTATCGGTTTTATTTTAAAGGATTAGTTAGATAAAAAGAATCATAACAGCATCAACAAGGCAAAATACACTGTCAAGGAACAGATTTGAAAGTAGCTTATGAGGTACCTTCTGGGCTGTCCTGCTTGAAAAGGAATTCCTGCCTGTTATCTGGAGGATGACTTATGGGCAAGAGAAATATAAGCTTCCCTTCTCTTCCATGCCCCATTTGTGCCTTACCTGGAAACACTATTGAGAGATGTAATGGTTCAGCCTTAAGGCTCACATGACTGATGGGATGTAAAGATATTTCTTACCATGGTTTAATACTAACAGTTCCTAACCATGCAATTAACAGTTTGAGATTCACATGCAACATTTTACAAACCTGAGGGAAATGAATTATATGTTTAGATATTGTTCTGAGTACATTTGTGACATACGTTGGGTGTTGCATCATTCTTCTTCTCTGGACCTCCATCCTCTGGATCACTTCATGAGGATGTAGCCTCTGTGCTGGAGGTGCTGTTGCAGGGATGTGATGGGATATAGGCTGGTGCGTTGCAGGAAGATGCTGGGGTATTGGAGCAGCTGCGTTGGCTAAAGGATGAGTTGGTGGTGGAGGTGGAGGTGGAACAGGATGAGAAGATGCATGAGAGGAGATTGAAGGATGGAAGGGATGCACTGGATGAGGGATAACATAATCTACTTGAGGTGGAGGTTGTGGCTGTGGAGGAGGATTTCCATGAGAGTGAGGACATGCAGAAGCTTGATGGTGAAGAGGTCTGGTCAAAGAAGCATCTGCAATGAAAACATTAGGTGCTTTTAATTTGGTCAGTAGCAGGTTTTGACTTAAATTTATTCAAAAAAAAGTATCTTCACACAGGTGCTTCAATATTATTACACTAGTGTAAACAGTGGCAACATGGGAATATGTGTTTATGCAATTTTCAATTAAAGTGATTCCAGCAATGTACCCTACAAGAAACCCACACTTTCTGCAGCCAAAAGTATCCCAATTGCCAATGTCAGTAAAAAGAAAAAAAGAAAAAAAAAATATCTGTGTGATGCATGCTGAAAAAGGTATATATGGTAAAAAGTTTTACTTCAAGTTTTTCGTTGTTTTTGGTTTTTTTTTTTTTTTTAAATTCACCACCCCCCCAACATGAAGTCTACCATTCTGTAGAGACAATAAAAGCCAAAAAAAGAAATCACAAACAAACAAGCTGACTCTGAGTGTGCTCAAGCAGTACTTATTGGGAGAGTGGAACAGCGGATAGCCAAAGGAAAAAGAAAGGCATTGCTAAAATACAAAGGGGATGGAAAATATTTTCATAGTCAATACAGTTTTAAGTCTGAATGTTATTAAGATCACTCAAAAGAAAATATTTTAACTTCACCTTGATCCTTTTCAAATCCTCTACCCAAGTTGAACTGTTCAAATGCATTTCTTAATGCATGCTTTACTAGGCTAGTTCTAAGATCAAAGCAAGCAGATAGTAAGAGTGTTCATATGTTGTCAGGGAATCTGTTTTCTTGTTTATTTGGTATGTTGTTCCCCCTCAGGTACCCAGTAATTACCAGTACTTACAAGGAGAATGCATATAATGCCGACAAGAAGAGAGCGATGCCTGAGGAGGGGGTTGGGGCTGTGGCTGGGCAACCATACTCGATCCATAGCCATCTATTGTTATTGACTGGCTCGGGCCTGCACCAGCCTGATGCCCGTAAATCGCAGTTCGAGATGAAGAACCAGGACAGCAAGGGTCAAAAGCAGATGTTCCATGAAAAGCACCACTTCCGTGACTTCTTATACCACTGCTGCTTAAGTCTACTGGCAATGCCTGCTGCATAAACAAACCATCTTTTTCAAGCAATTCTTCAGATATTGAAAACAAAATCACCCTCAAGCATAATCCGATAAAAAGTAAAAATAAATACTATTACAAGCAACTGGGATACAAAGATTTTTAAGTTTTAAGGCTCAATTTTGGAACATTCTTCAGATATGGTTTAACATGTCTTATTCCTAAATTCTTGGGTCTGGTGAGAGAGACTAAATCAATTACATTACCTTGTGCAAAAAATACAAAAACCCTATGATGGATAAATCAGTGAGTACATGGGAGCTACGTGCACTGAACTATTTGGGGGCAAAAAACAATCTTTAGCATTTTCAGTTGGGCCTAATGTATTATACTTAAAAGATAAACCAGATTGAGAGTTCTGCATGTTGTAAATTAATTTTACACAGTACTGTTCATACTTACAACTGTACTATTTTAGAGCTGTGTCCTAGTTTCAGCTGGAATAGAGTTATTTTTCTTCCCAGTAGCTGCTGTGTTTTGGATTTAGTATGAGAATAACATTGATAACACATATTGCTTTAGATGTTGCTAGGTAATGCTTATCTTAAGTCAAGGACTTTTTCAGCTTCCCATAGAAGCGGAGAGGGAACACAGACAGGACAAGCTGGCCAAAGGAATATTCCACACCATAGACTTCATGCTCAGTATATAAATGGGGGTTGACCCAGGGCAGGGGAAGAAAGGGGAGGCAGGAATCTGCAATCGCTGCTTGGGATGGGATGGGCTGGGCAGGGCAATCGGTCATTGTGTGGTGAGCAGTTGTATTGCATCCCTCATTTTGTATATTCTTTTAGCATTATTGTTATTATTTTCTCTTCTGTTACTGTTCTACCAAACTGTTTTTCCCTCAACCCATGAGACTTCCTTTTTTCTGATTCTCCTCCCTTATCCCTCCTGGGGATGAGGAGTGAGTGAACGGCTGTGTGGCCCTGGTTGCTGTTTGGGGTTACACCACAGCAAGCTGTGATTTCAGTTACTTAAAAAAAATATCTTAAAAACCAATGCTTTTAGAAGAGCAACTCTCTTATACCTTTTATAAACAGAACATTAGACTTGATTTTTTCTTCCCTTAAAGCAGCTCAATTATTTGCATTCCAAAACTGCTATGATCAGCAAAGAATATTTCAAGGTATTTATGTCTGGTTTTCTTAAGCTGCCACTATCATCTTGCAGTCATCAAGAGGATATCAGCTGTCAATGATTACTTGTTGGATTATGACTTTCTGTAAAATTTTAATTTTTTTGTGTCCATATATTATAGCTCAAATTTTCCTTTTAGCTCCCTTCTATAATGCCTGCTACAGAACAAGAAAACAATCCACAATTCAGCATCCTATTCCATTCCTTCATATCTACAACAACTCAAAATCACAAAGGGAGAGTCACAAGAATTAAACATGCCTGGTCATGGTAACTGGTGCCCGAACTGCTGCTTGCTCCACAAGGTGCAGGCACTGGAGGAGGCCTTTCAACAGGGCAGCTGGAGTCACTGAATGAAGGAGACAGCGGGACAGCTGGGTGAGGGTTGTGGTGGTGGTGGTGGTGATGTTGGAAGTGGTGGCTGTGCTGCTGAAAGCAGCTTGTATGCGGGTGCCCCAATGCATGATGAGTCTGTGAAGGTCCTCCACAAGGAGAATGCTGAGGGCAGCACGATGGTAACCTTGGCATGGCCGGAGGGCCAGTTTCCAGTGTCGTATTAGATGCAGTTCTTCTTATATCATCTTGAAGATAAAGAAAGTTAATATTGAAGTGAAAGAAATTAGTAAAGCTGATCACTGTAAAGCTGTGTCTTAAATAGAAATAAAGAAGTTGCACTTCACAATTAAATAATTACCTGATTGAAAACCAGATCTAGACTAAACAAAAACAAACCAGATACAAAAAAAATAAGATTTAGTTCTGCCTGCCAAATCAACTGAATCTGAATGGTTCAGATAGATGTTCTCATGGGAACAACTAGAGGACATGAACTGACACTTGCAGTATTCTACTAATTTAAGACATCAGTAGGGAGAGAAAGGTAGATTGTTCCTGTGAATAGTGTGCAGAAACCTCAAATTCTTGTGGAACTGTGGCCAGCTCAGATTTTTTGTACCTTGACTGACTTGCAGATAGGGCCAGAGCATCCACGTTTCAGAGATGTTATGAGTGCTACCTGTATATACAGCTGTTATAGGTCAGTGTCTATACAGATCTGTATGTGCTTCCAGTGAAGTAATCTAGACAGGGTGGTTCACAGAATCTATACATCCTTCACTTTCTTACAATACACATTAAAAAAACCTCACCCCTATAATATACTGCAATGAAAGACTTAATTCCCTGTGATATATATTCTACCTCCTCAGAAAGCAAGGATGTGGTTCATTAGGTATGACCAAGGCATTCCAACAGGTGAAAGCAGAATACTCCAGCACAACTTCCTTCGACTTTGGAGAAAAACCAATGATCTTTTTCAGATACCTGTCCTCTCACCTTATTACTGGTACGTTCAGTACTAAAAGTTCACATGCTGTTTAATCTAATTAACAACTTCTACCTCCTTCGTGCTAGGAGGCAACACAACAGTATAGAGAGCTCTCTCATTCTGTACCTCCAGCTGAAGGCCCAGCAGTGCCGCCACTGGGAAGACTGGGAGTTGTCTCTGGTGCTGCAGGGGGCTGGCTGCTGGAGACGCTGGGAGCTGCATCAGAGGCCTGCTCTGAGGTAGACGTACCAGAACTGTTACTGGAGGCAGAAGTCACGACCTGCGGCTCCACTCTAGCTGATGTGGTTGGCACGACTGTCGGCTCTAGCAAAACAAAAAGCTTCCATGTTTTTTAAAGCTTTAAAAGCTGCTGGGGCTTTTTATTGTTGCTGCATTTTAAAAATTATTTTACAAGAAGGTCTTAATTCTGGTCTTGCCAGATGCTAAGAAAGTCATAACGCAGAAGCCGGACAGGTACAGAATAAGAACTTAATTCTGTTCCACTCATGTGTGGGGAAAAATAAAGTTATCTTTTTTTAAAATCAACTCAAATTTTAAGAATTAATATAAAATCAATTCCTAACCAATTCTGACATATCAAGTTTTATTTACTGAATAAAATATTCCTAGAAGGGAAATTAAATTACTTTAGCGCTTTATAATGAAAACACTTGCTGAAATCTTTCCTAAATCCACAGGCAAACTACTCTACAATTAAGTACTACCCTTGCCATTTTTTAATGCCTACAAAGCACAGAAAATTTTTTAGATAACTAACCAACAGGAGCATAATAACATCTAAACTAGCACTACCACTTTACAAACATCAGTCATTTTAGACGCATAGTACTAAAGGCTATAGAAAGATAAACTTGGTTTCTAGTTTCAATGCACATTAAAAGCAGATTCATTTTTTTTTTTTTTTTTACAAGGTCTGTTAGAAGTACATACATGTCCATTTTGCATATCGTAAAGGTAATAGTCAGCAATATATGTAGTCAGATCCAGGGAAATACACCAAAGACTTGACAAATCTTGTCCTCTACTACACAACTGTAAACAGGTTAAAATTTAAAAAGGTACTTGGTAGCATAATTCAAATTTAGTTTTGAAAGTCTGCTTTTGACTGTAAGTTTGAAATTTCTCTCTAATCACTGACAAGGCAATGGCATGACTAGGAACGTGAGATACTATAAAAGGGAATATCATGAGAAGCAGCTCAGTTTACATGATATGTAAATGCTGCATAGATATCAGAGGGGGAAAAAAAAAAGCATCAAGACACTTCAAATACTTCACTTACAGTCTCAAAATAAAATATGACAAGTTTTCAAGATTTCTCTCTGTATCTAATAGGTGTATCAGCAAATGAGCGAGAAAGGGAATAAAAACATACCTCCCTTCTTGCAAGTCTTCCAACTCACCACATTCAAAAACCACGATCTGATATCTACATTTAAATTCCTTTGGATTTTAAATGGCATTCCAATCCACCAATTTTATTTAAAGGAAAACATTTTGGGAGAAATGTATTAATGTTTAAATTGAGAGAAAAACCAGCAAATGGATAGGACATAAATAGTCTAACATTGCTATGGAATCACACAGTGCTCAAGGCTGGTGTTAATAAATTCTGAAAGCAATCCTACATCAGACAATTCTCAACTCTATCAGCCTCCATCTCCCTGCTAGCCTGGTCCTGTTTTGACTCACCATCAGCAATACAGACAGTTCTGTTTCTCCTCCCCCAATACCAGTAAAAGCCAGTGGGGGCTTGGTCTAACTACTAGCTAAGAGAAATTTAAATTTCAACACACTTTACAGATATTAATCTAGGAACATAGACTGAGATATGATCCTTATGCTCATGGAAGTAGCTAGCAAAGTTTTAAGATCAGTATCTTTGAAGACATCAGTAAAATTATGATAAAGCGTATAGCTGCCTTGTAACAGTGTTAATTGAGAATTTTTATCATTTTACACTAGTTTCTGTGTGAAATTTGATACCTAGACCCCAAAATAATATCCCTGAAATCCTGAAAGACTCATCTTAGAAAGTTATTTCCTCTGGCGGGGGGAGAAACAGCTAGTCTTAAATATACACATTACAGAAGAAAAAGTTCATTCAGCAATAGTTTTTTTTGTTTTTGTTTTTTTTTTTTTCAAGAATTTCATTCCTGAATTTTAGATCAAATTCTATAATTTGAGTTTAAAGAGTAAACTAAAGCAACAAATGCCCATTCATCTTCAATGACAAAGCTGTTAGGATAACTTCCAGAAAACCCATAAAGAAAAGCATCTGTAAATCAACTCATCCTCCTCCTTAAAATACATCAAACAACCAAAACCAATTCCAAACCCACCCAACTCTCCAACCCACTCCAAAAAAACAAAACAACTTAAGAATAAAATATCGCAAGATACTAGCTTGCGATGTAGTCAGGGATGGAACCACAACAGGACAAAATTCCTGTCAAATATTAAAAGCAGCACGCACCCAAGAAATCCCCAAAACCACCACCACAAAAATAAACCTGCAAAAATGTACATGAGCTTTAGATTTCCCTTTTCTCAGTGTCTGACAATACCTGGAAGTTGCTCTTATTGCTTTCAGCAGGAATAGACTTATTAAGTGCCAGTAGGTTTTAATGGTAAGAAACAATGAAAGGTTACAGCTTCAGAAACCTAGCATACTTTACTAGTTTGGGATTGCTTTTTTTTTTTTTTGCCTTTTTTAAAAATTATTTTTATTTCAAGGCCTGAAAAAACAGTAGCCATTCCAAAGCATGGGCAGCGGTAAATTTTCCTTTTATAGTGCTGTACTGAAGTAAGTGCATATTTTTAAAGAAGTAGTTCCAACCTGTTCTGTAATTTCTGCCTGGTGAGTCAGTCCTCAGACACACACCCAAGCCTGTTTTGGAAGAAAAATTAGATTTAGTAGACCCATCAGGAATGGCTAAACTTTTTGTTTTTAAAGGAAGGCTGCAAGGGGATTTTCTGACCGGCTTGGAAATGAGTTTGTTTAGAATTGAGACTTTTTCATAGAATGCTGTAACTGATGCAGTTACTTCCACTCCCCTTATACTCATTATTCCTGCTTCTGAAAAACGAAGAGACACAACTTACCATCTTCATCCACCGTGAGATCTACCACCTCTGCTGCATTCTGCCTCAGCGGCTGGATGACTGTGGAAACCCTACTGCGGTTCCGCTGTTCTTGAGGTCGTGCAGCATGAGAAGTAGAGCTTTGTCCCCAGTGTGATCTTGTGTGTCCAAGTGTGGAACGAGACCTTAAAAAAGGCAACATCGTAAGTACTGACCTAAATTTTGCCATTATTAAGTTTTTCTCCTCACTGTTTGAGAAGCTATTTGAAGTATTTTTTTATCATTATTAGAAAAGTTCTTTGTTAATATTGAAATCTCCCACCACTAGGTGTGTACTTACAAACGTTACTGCAGCCTTTACCAGATAAAGTAATGGTAAATACCTAACAGGCAGAGTTTAAAGGGCTTTAAACCATGTTCCTATGAAATACATACAGGTAACTTACGAAATATTCACTGTGAAACCCTACAACCCTGGCAGCAATTATATCTGATATTATGTTTTAACTCTGTTAATGGTAAATGAAGAGTCTCCAAATTCTATACTATTCCTACGCAGTCTGAAACAGCAAATCTATGAATGATGACACAAGTGTAAAGAAAATAAAATTTTGCAAACGTTCTCTTGCATGTTGACTTGTGTCAGAATATTTTTCACAGGATAATTTCTATACTTTCATTTTAATTTCCAAAGCATCCTAAAAGTGCAAAATGTCTGGACTCTTCCCCCTTGATTATTATCTCTCCGCCCCCTTCCCCCCAAGAATGAACACAGGTTTGTATTACACTAATTAAACTTTGAAGAATATGGCTTGAGGAGAGGAAATCATAAGCCTGTGTCCATACCTAAGGAGAGGGATAGTTTCTATCTCTGTAGTTTAACACTTCGCATCCATTCTATTCAATTTAGTCATACAAACCGAAACACTCAAATCAGTGATGCTTTGGAGTCTGAGAGGAAACTGTCTTTAATGAAGGGAAGATTATTTTTTACAGTATTGTATTTACCAGTTCACACTCAAAAAAATCTTTGACTCTAGTATTTACATAAGTCAAGTGGCTCTTATTTTCCAACATGGAAAAACAATGTACTCAGACTTCAGAAATTCAGAAGAGGAAAATGTGAAGAAAACAGAATGACTTCACTAAAAACAAACAAAACCCACTGCACAAATCACCATGGAGTTCAGGCTACATTTCTGTTCTGCCTGCACTCCCTTCACCCCCATCTGTGTAACTCTCCAACCAAGATCAGTATATTTTCCTGTAGTGCAAAAAGCATGCTTGCTGCAGCCTTTTCAACTGGCCTACACATTAATTCCACTTCAGTAGTCAATGCAATTTAAGGATTGGGTTGGTTCAAAAAGGCACATTTTCTTTAAAATTTGCATTTACATAATGTCCAAATTGATATGCAAGTGGTTTGTCTGTACCCTCCCAACACTCCAGAATGAAATTTACCTCCAAAGCCCCTTAAAAAACCTCACTATCGCTCTCTGATGATTCAAGGTGCACTTTGGTAATAAAAGGAGAGGTTAAGGTGTCACCTCCTGCTTCATCTGCCCTCCCCTCCAGGTAACTAGGAGGTGAGGTTCATGGAAACACCTTGGCTGTGGGAGTGAAGGACAGTAGAAATGAGCTGTGGAAGGGTATGTGGGACTGTCAGTGTTTACTTGCCTTACAGGAGCTCCAGCTTCATATCACAGAATCACAGAACGATATGGGGTTGGAAGGGACCTCTAGAGATCATCTAGTCCAATTCCCCTGCCAGAACAGGTCCTCCTAGAGCAGGTTGCACAGGAACTTGTCCAGGCAGGTTTTGAATGTCTCCAGAGATAGACACTCCACTACCTCTCTGGGCAGCCTATTCCAGTGCTCAGCCAACCTCCAAGTTCCTCCTCATGTTTAGATGGAACTTCTTGTGTACAAGTTTGTGCCCATTTCCTCTTGTCCTGTCACTGGGCACCACTGAAAAAAGACTGGCCCCTTCCTCTTGACACCCTCCTTTTTAAGTATTTATGTTGATCAGACCCCCCCCTCAGCCTTCTCTTCTCCAGACTAAGAAGACCCAAGTCCTTTCCTTGTAAGAGAGATGCTCCATGCCCCTAATCATCTTTGTGGTCCCCTGCCACACCCTCTCCAGCAGTTCCTTGTCCTTGAACTTCCTTGTAAGAGAGATGCTCCATGCCCCTAATCATCTTTGTGGTCCCCTGCCACACCCTCTCCAGCAGTTCCTTGTCCTTGAACTGGGGAGCCCAGAACTGGACACAATACTCCAGATGGGGCCTCACCAGGGCAGAGTAGAGGGGCATCAAATGTATCAAAAACAGTGCAGTATCTACTACATTCATATTGTTCATTTTTTAGTGCAAGCTGTAAAATCAGCAATAAGAAAGTTCTTTGGGTTTCTTCTTGCACAAAAGAATAAGCAGACAACATGGCAAAGCATCAAACTAGAGAAACAAGGCCTAGCATACAACTGTACAGCAAGCTAATAATCTTCAAGAATTTCTGAATCAGGTATGATTCCAAGCAAAGACAGGGGTAGAAGCAACTACTGAATTGAAACAGTCTTAGAGGTCTGGGTATTTATTTCCTTGTTATGATTAAATAGCACATTATTCTGAATGACTAATGAATACATTAGCTATATGGTACTGTGTATATTCAGTCTGTGGCTGAGTCCATGTAATTTCAAAATGAGTAGGTTAGTCCACCTCGGAAGTATGTATGACCAAATTGTTTAGTCCATTTAATGCCAAGACAAGTCTCAAACAAATCTTACTTAGCCCTTCCTTAACCAGGAAAGGGCTGTTAGTGAAGGTTTATAGCATTCTGGTATATACTGTCCATCTCATCCTCCTAGCAACGACTCCAGCTGCTACACTGCTGCTTGAGACTGCAGCTCATTTTACATCAAAGACTTACTTTCCCTATGCTTTGGAAGTGGCCATATCCTGATGGAGAAGGGAGGAAGAGGAGGGAATAATCATCAATGCATAACAATTTCCTGATAGAATGGACAGTTTCTTCCTCCATGGCAGTCACTAACACATGGATTTCTGTATGCAATTTTCTCAAACCTGAGACTGTGTGACACACAAAAAAGTGACAAATTTCTACGTGCATGTGACCAAGTAAGGAGTCAACATCCTACCAACTGCATCTCACCAGTGACCACTCAGAAACAAGTAGGAGAGCATTAGCATCTTGATTTCACAAGGCAAATAAAAATCAGACAAATAATTAACCAACTCTGGTAACAAAAGAACCAACAAAGGGATGCAGTCATGAAGTTTCTGGTAATTTCTTGGTTTAAATTACGAATAAGATTTTTGGGTCTGCAATTCTTAGTTGTGGGATAAAGTCAAAGAAACTTCAGCTTAACAATTCCTGTGGAAAGTGTTTTTTCTAGAGATAAATGGTTTTTACTGGGTTTATTAAGTTCTCAGGAGTGAACGAAAGTAAGGAAGTGTTCTTCACGAGCACTCTCTTTCTTACTTCTAGAAGAGCAAAATGAGTGGCTACCTGCTGGACTTTCACATCGATGCTGCTGATAAGGTACATTATGTGTGGTTCAGGATCAGGCACTATGTATTTTGCCAAATCTCCTTATTTTTAGGGAAATTGCAATAATCAGTATAGGGTTTCAGTAACAGAGCAGAGGAAGATGACAAGAAATAAATGCTGTAAGGGAGGAGAGGAAAAAAACCACCAGACTTCTTAAAGTCCATACAATATTACACTTACACAAGAGAACAGCAAAACTTAGAAGTGAGCACAAAATTGTACTATTTTGCTGCTGTTACAAGCAAGGTGGGACCTGTAGAGTTACCTAGAAAGTCTGGTTGAAGACACTACAGAAAGAAACCCTTTCCCTTGCACAGCTCTAGCTCTCCAAAGCTTTTTCTTTATCTTTTCCCAATTCAGCATTACTACGTTTGAGAGGATTTTCCTTCTTAGAATGTTCCAATTCTATGTTCTTTATCCGTTCCCTATCTTCTCTTCTCCACAATACATCAATAACAGTGAAAGACCATTTCATGTCCACTAACGTGCTCCTGGTTCTACATCACAACAGATGCTTTGTCTCAACGTTTCCAACACAAAACTATTTTTTTTTGTCTCTAACTTTTCCAAGTCTAAGCATAAATCTTGAGTTTCTAAGGGATGCAGGTGTGCATTATTTTTATACTATTAATTTGCATTCTCTAAGTCCATATATTATTATGAGGATATACACTGCTATGCAACTAATAATTGAGTTTTGAAAAAAAGTTTTAGTTCTAATGTATTCAATATATGTAACAAACATTAGAAAGCATAGTCTCAGAATTCACAGAAAAAAAGCCTGCAGTACTATGAAGTATCAAAAGAGGTATCTTCATTTTTGCATTTCTGATTTGACTTTTTTTTTTATTTCCATCTAAAAATACGCTCTTGCTTTTTAAAAAAAGAAAATAATAACCTCTCACTTATATACAAGCTACCAAAAAAAAACCCAAAACATTTATTTTGCTCTGAACAGCATTCTGAGTTTGGTAAATAACCTTCATAATGTTCAGTTTGCTTACAGCATTTATAATTTTAGACTGAATTATCGTTTAGATGTCCAAGAGCTGCCTTTGTTCCTTACACTGCATTTGGCAAAACTAATATGCTTGAAGCACAAGAAAGCCTGCATAGGAAGTAGTCTGTGTTCAAAATATAAAAGACTAGTTTAGAAGTTCCTGACATTTCAAGCTCAAGATTTGAATTTAAGACTCTTACTCCTCATAGCAAACTTCCTGGAATTGTTTTCTTACCTTATTTTTTAAACACAGAATCATGACATTTCCCATTACAAAATAAAACTCAATTATTTCTTTAATCTTCTCAAGAACAGTTAAAGAACAAAGCCTAATTTGACCATTCTGTTATGTTCTTTAAACCGATAAATAATCACATGCCTTTGAGAAATCTGCATGTTAGAAGGTCTAACAAACTCAGCAGGCCAAAAATTTAAATTCACCAGGAAGTGCCCCTGGCTCAACCTCCTTCTCACTTAAATCACCAGTAAAGACACTATTGACATCAATAAAAATGGGGGCGGAGGGTGTTTGCTGCCATTGTTTTGGCCGTAACACTGCAGAAGGTAAGGGAAGAAAGAAGTAATTTTTTCAAGTCTCTTATGGCTACTACACAAGAGATTTCTTATTGATGCTAGGAAGGCAGAAAGCTATTTATTTTTTAAAACCATCTTACCTGTCTTTAATCATGTTTGAATTAATGTTCTATAAGCACTGTCATCTAGCCTAATTTTTTACCAGTTAAAGCTTTACGTGCAAGTTATAAGAGGCTAAAGCATTAACTTAATCTATTTCAAGTCTTTTCAACCATACGTGTTGTTTCCTAAGTTTTAATGACTATTCTCAACAAATACATTCCTGTGGATAAATCAAGAAAGAGCACCTGGTGATTCTGCAGCTTTAGTTTTCTTTTAAAGAGAAGGAAATGTAAAGAAACATACTCTTGAAGAAATGAATTTTTAAAATGTTGATTTCTCTCATCTGCCCCTAATTCTTCTTTGCTATAGATTCGGGCTGCATATTTTTGCGAGTATGACATCCTTTGTGTGAAAGAGTTTAACCAAAAAATTAGTTAGTTCCAAACATTCATGAAATCTACACTATTCATGCATTTGCCTTAAACATAAAATTGGTTTGTTCAATGTGATATTTATTCCAATAAAAGTGATTTTTGCAGGAAAACTTGTCTGTTATTTTCAATTTAAAATTGCACTAATGAAAGCACTATGATGACAAACAGATGGCATGTTTTCATGATTTACTGCCTATTGTTCCTTTGTCATTATTTTACAAAAAATGGATAATCATTCCTCATATTTTACAATTTTGTCTTCATGTTCACACATATGAAAACGTATGTAATAGGCAGCCACCTCCAACTGTCCCATGCACGTGATAATTTCAAGTTTCCTTATTGAAGGACCTCCACTATAATAAATTCTGCAAAATCTGACAAACGACGAACAAAACTTCCAGAGAGGCACAGGAAAAACAGGAAAGCATACACAGCAGCAGCTTCAAAAAAGTAGGATGCATTCCTGAGAAATGCTCAGATAATCCCTAGATAGTCAACTCAGCCTAAACTTGATCTTACTGTACAGCTCTGCTTTTCCAAAATTCCGCCCAACACTGACACTAATTGCAACCACCTCAAAAATTCCAGATGAATTTAATTACTAAGCTTTGGCAAAACTGTGGTTTAGGTGTTTTTGTTTGTTTCTTTATTTGGGGGTTTGGGGGTTTTATTGTTGTTTTAAGTAAAAAATGCATACTATGCATCCTGGTTAGAATTTCTGTGACATTACCTTGTGGGCTTTTAACGACACGGAGCCTCGTGACAAACCTGGAGTCAAGCAAAACTGTATTAATACAAAGAGCTGCAATTCTCACCTGTAGCTTTCACCAACTGTGACAATCTCCACTTCACTATCTGTTGAGGTAACATTTATTTCTTCATTAGCAGTAACCTGGGGAGTGGAGGATGCTTCAATCACCACAACATCTTCATCAATACTTCCTGATGAGGAAAAGGGAAGACAAAAGTTTGTATACTGCATTTATACCAGGAGCTGTCATTATAACAGACTATTTTTTTTCCTAGATTTAAAACACATATAGGTGGAGAATTTAATGGTGTATGCCAAAACTTTAGGTGCAACTATCAAATATATGACCTAATTATTAAAAGTAGCAATTTTGCTGTAAATACTGAAAGTGAAAAAAGGAAGGAAAAAGAAGATTGGGGGTAGAGGGAAGATATGCAAATTTACATTCTACTGTGTATTGGAAGCAATTACCGTGAATTTTATTAGATGTAACACCAGTGAAACTCACTCATTTAATATAAAACCAGAAAAAAAAAACTTTCAAGCTACCAAACCAGCAGTGGTTTGTTATTAATAATAATTTTTTTAATGTTTTTGTAGGTATTAAAGTGTCAAGGCTAAACAGTGGCAACAAAAGAAAAACAATATTCCAACTAATATAGGTTATTTATTTCTACAACAAAATGAATATCCCAAATACATTGGTGTTTAAAAATGTCTTGATATCTACACTTTCAGTTGTATTCGCAATCATACTGGAGAGAGGAAGTTAAAATGAAACTATCAATGGCAAAAAACAACCACCAAAACCCCACAAAAATAATTTATAGACAAGTTTTGACAGGAAACAATTTCCACTTCAAGAACAATAAAGTTCCAGCCTAATACTCAGACACATGGAAACACTTCTCTACGGCTGTAACACTGACAGTGACAAGACTGAGCTATCTACAGTACTTAAATTGAGCTACAGATTATTTCATCACTACGGTAGTATCACTAAGTACAAAAGAACTTACTAAATAAAATGAGCTAGATAGCTTAGAAACAGCAAACTACCAGTTCAAGATTTGCAGATTTCTTGAAGAAAACTGCTTGAAGAATTTGGTCTCATTCAAGTCGATATTTACATCCTGTACGGATGTTCTCAGCTGCTCTACCCAATGACAAGGTGGGGCAGATTATTCCCTACAGCCACACACACATCCCTCACACCCCTTCAAGTATCAATATTTTTCTATTTTTAAAAAACAAGTTGCCATTCTGATTTTCCAATGGCACTTGTTTCTGGTCATACTTATCCCAGAGAGACTGGTGCCTGAAGACGGAAAAAGTGATGCTTCCATATACTGGTATTCACCAAACTCTTATGATTAGAAGTAATATGTGACAAAACTAATTCTCAAAATTGCAGAGAAATTTTGGGAAAAACTGAAAAAGTTACAGTGTCTAAAAACCAAAGTCACTTGCTAAAATTGAAAACACAGAGGCCAATTACTCAAAGTAAAAGAAATGTAAAAGAACAGGATCATCACATCCAGAAGAATGTAAATGTCATGCTTTTGACATCTTGAAACTCATAGGCAAATAAGCAAGGGCTTCCTTACACAAAATTGTTAGCTGCTTCTCAAACAAAACCAGGTAGCCAAGCAGCTGGTGAAAGGTCAGTTAGAAAAAAACCAACCATTTCCCTCCCATCTCTGTGCTTCTAAACATGAGCTTCTCTGAATTACAGTAAGTCAGAGAGCATTCCTGGGAGTCCACACATCCTCAGACTCAATATTTATTGAAATTTATGACAGGTGCAAAAGCAGGAAGATTTAGGCTTAAGTATGATCCCATTACATCTGAAAACAAACAGCACCTCCTTGAGGACAAAATCATATACCATAGAATTTCAGTCTGTATCTTTACCTAAATTCTGACACAAGCCCATCTCAGGAAAACCAAGGGGATTTCTCAACTGAGTATCTACACAACTCAGATACTCACCTTTGTCATGGTTTGAGTGTTCATTTTACTTAATCCTTTTTAAGCAAATTTTTAGTCAAGATGTGATTTTACAGACTACACATGAATCAGACTGTAGAAACCATCAGAACTGTTACTGTATGAACAGGTTTTATGACTTTCAAAACAATAAAGAAAATATTAAGGAAAATAGTCAAAAAAGGATATAGCATAGATATAGTTCAATTGTATGCTACTTCCTACTGCTTATGCTTTCCAATAGCGCCCTCCCAAGTCAAAAGCACAAACTGGGTTTTCATCCCATGAAGTGCTTTCCTACACAAGCAGCCAATAATACACACTTTCCTCAATATGAAGCAGAAAAACAACTCCTCTAAACTATGTAAATATTTGTAAGATTATATTGCTAGGAAAAACCTATGAACATAAGTTAGGATCATACACAACTTTGTACCCCCTTTTAAATAAAACAAGATCTCAAGTGTGTCTATTATAAGCACACCGGGGGAAAGTACATGGATGTGGACTTGGCTTAAATTAACATGTATGTGGAGAACAGTATATACAAAATTAGACAATCAGCCAATACAAACTGGTTTCATTATATTTATCTGAACAATAAAAAGTCAGCTGAACAGCAAAACTTCAGTAACATAAGCAACACTGAAGTAATGTTCATAATCCTCATGGACTAGCTCTTCCAAATTCAGTCACTAGCCACCAAGCAGGTAGTACTAAGTGGTATGAAAACCTGATCTTTCATCGCCAACAGGATTTACTGTTTCTTCTTTGTCTTTCCTCATACATTGCTACAAGGAAGAGAACACAGATTTTGAAGCATCACAGATAAAACCACACCAGTTTATTCTGATTTAGACAAGCTGCTACAAAGCAGAGCAAAGGATAGTGTTAAAACAAAAAAAAAAAGTCTCTGAAATAATGTCCAAACGAGGTCTCAGAGGACAGTGTCCTTGACAGGCCAACAGGAATACAGGGTGCCTGCAGCCCACGAGCAGCAGCACAGCTATTGAGGACAGGCTCCTGAAACTTCAGCAAGCCTATGCATAAGGGATTTATCCTACATTAAAGCATTGTATTTAGAAGGCAACTAAGAATTAAGACTGTACCGATACCAAAGAACTAGTGAAATTTAAGATGCCTTTTTGAATGTTACATAGTACCAAAACTGGGTAAAAAAACCAAAAGTGCTCTGCCAAATGCATTTCTAATTCAAGTTGGTTTGAACTACTACAGGCCTAATCCTAGCAAAGCCATGATATTTTGCAGGTCCACATAATGTAACCTTGCAGGTTAAATTAGTGTCTGAAGGTGAACTTCACTGTCAGAGTAGTTCAAGATGGTCGACTAAAATTTTAAGAGTGCACAGCCCTGTAAAGCACAAGGAAACCTTCTTTAGTGAGATGACTGACATGCAGAAATACAACAAATGGATTTTCAGAGGTTTTGCTATATTGTTTCTAAAAGTATTTGCTCAAGAGAATTTTGAGGCACTCGCATGCCTCAAATATTTACCACATATGTAACTCTTAGGAGCCATCTGGTGAATCCAAGGCTACATGTTAGTGGTAAACAGCTGAGAGTATCTTTAGGATGTCTACATCTTTAGATCTACATGGGAATATACTTGGTATATATACACACACTTGTAAAGCAAATTTCTTAGGAAGGGCATAAACCCAAGAGAATTTTATATTTCAGTAAATCCCAATTCCAATGTACTGCACAATTTACAAAACATACTAACTGCCAAGGAAAAAAACCCCAACAAAAAAAAAAAATCCAAATCCAGAACTATACCAGCCAAGGAAAAAAAAAAATCCAAATCCAGAACTATACCAAATGACAACATACTTGCACATCTTTCTCAGTATTACTTTTCACCCTGCAGTCCACTACACAGGATGTTTTCATCTAGTCCACCATGACAAAGCATACTTCATTTCTTTGCATTTATGCACGTACCAGTCACTGACTAGTCATCATCTGTCTGGAATGAACTTCAAGCAAATTTGACCTTACTTAAAAGTATAAACATGAATACCTTACTCATCAATGTATCATCTAAATGATTGACCCCGTAAGAGAAGAGCTAAATCTGTATTACTATACTAATCCTACACTCCTTGAAGGTAATCTCCCTTCAAGGAGAAGAGTCACTGGGCTGCTGGCAGCAAAATCGTTATGCAGATCTACAAAAGGTATTTTGTACTACTTTCAGCTTCATACCTATAGCTATAAAACAAACAGAAAATTATCCTCCTGCAAGTATACACTGCTTCTCTCTGTCATCACCTGAATAACAAAACACAGCAAGCAAATTATACTCTAGTTGTTTGTGACTAAATTAGCCTTTGGGCTACCAATGAAAGATGCATTCTACATTTTAAATGAGCTGGTTAAAAACAAAATTTCTACTGAAATTTACATCAAGAATTTTATTAGTTTCCCATGATTTTTTTCCCTACTCACATCTACGAATAACATTTTATAGTGCATGCAAGCCACCAAATTTTAGTTTGCAAGTTTTGCATATTCCAACAATCAGATCCATCAACAGCAGTCAGTAATTAGGATTTGTACAGACTAATAATCAGTAATAATTAGTAACTTCTTCAGAGAAGCTTCTCTCCTTTTTTAAAGCCTGCTTTATGATATAAACCTAGTGCTCAGCCAACCTAGAGGAAGGAATAAACTACGGTGGCTTGAATCCAAATTTGAACATGCTCAAAATGATAATCATCCCTTAAAAACCAAAACACTCCCTTCGCCAGGCCCTACATCAGAAAGACAGTAAATCTGTCAGATTGAAGTACTTTATTAAGCAGAATATAACCTTTAAAATAATGTAATACCATGTAGTCCAATATTTAGCTCAGGAGGATATTGTGTCTTTTCCCCCCGGAAGTTGTAAGATTATTTAGGAGCTGTAACTGCTAGGTGTTGTTGACAGACCACATGTAGTTCTAGGAAGCAAGTGTTAGAATTAAATATTTTAATAATCCAGAAGTTACAAGCAAGAGACCAAGCTTTGTAAAGTAGAATATATGTCATATATACGATTATTCTCTATGTATAATATATATAATTATACTATTACTTAACTCTGAAAGATCATGGCATAGCTCAGAGATTAATCAATCATCATCAACACAGCTACCCCACCAAGGACAAAAATAACACTGGTATAACATCCAAATTT